AATCTAAACGCCTCTTTTCGACTAAGCCAACCGTAGGTTACACGAGGTTTTGGATTGTGGAGCGACTGACTCGCCGTTTCGACCGATTTCAATATATATTTTTTTTTAAAAAAAAAAAAAAAGTTAAAAGCGTTTTGCGAGATCGGATATAAACATCCATCATTCTTAAGGTGTTATGGGCTATCGAAAGATAATTCAGGAAATTACATTCTTATTATGAAATATGCAAGGAAGGGTTCTTTACGTAATAATCTTCGCGAAGTATCGCAAATGAAATGGAAAAAAAGGTAAATTTATTAAGTTGTATAACATCTGATCTTGAAGCTATACATTCACAAGAATATATTCACAAAGATCTACATAGTGGTAACATATTACAAGACGATTTAGATAACGCATATATTGCGGATTTAGGTCTTACATCGCCTGCTAAAAACGATATCGAAATTTTTGAAATTTTACCTTATATTGCACCAGAGGTATTATCAGGTAAACAATCTACACAACCAACTGATATCTACTCATTTGGTGTAATTATGTGGGAAATATTAACAGGAAAAGAAGTTTTCGAGGATTATGAATTTAATGTTGATTTAGCAATAAAAATTTGTTTTGGATTGCGACCAAAATTCGCTCCTGGGACTCCAGAATGTTATGTCAAATTAGCTAAGCAATGTATGGAATCAGATCCAAAAGAAAGACCTACTGCTATATATATTAATGCGGTAATTGCTGATTGGATCGAAGAACTTGCGAACGAAAGCAATAAAACAATAATTAAAAAGCAATTCTTAGAAGCTGATGAGCAATCCTTAGAAGCTGATAAGCGATCCTTAGAAGCTGATAGAGGGTGATAAGATGGTTAAAAAATTATCAAGCATCGTACAAAAATCTCAAGACAATAAGTACACTTCAAAGCCCATTAACACGCAAGAGATCACGAAAGCATTTTCGAAAATGGCCATTGTCAGCGCTCCGATTGATAATGTGGAAATTCCGATGGAGTGAAGGCATTAAAATCAATTAACAAACTTGATTTTTAGTATTGTGAAACCAAATTTTAAATGCTTTTAAAAATAAATTAATAAAACTTACATCAACACATTATTTAGTGTTATGAATTTAAACTCCGCATAGTAGTTTAGTCTTAAAACTTATTTTATAAATTTATATAAAAGATATTTTCTTGATTTCTGAATATTTTTACTTAAAAGAAAATTAAAACAGACCATCTTAAAAATTTGAGCAATTTCAAAGACGTTTATTTATTTTACAATGTCCGAAAAAAAAAGTTCAAAGCTAACCTATGACACTTATATATCCAATTCAGATAAAAATCAATCAAGTCGAATAAACGGTTCTATGATTATTTAGCATCACCGGTTATGTTATGTCAGCAACCACTAATTCAGATAATATATCGTACGTCATAATGAGATTTAAAACCTTGAGATTTGGAACAGTTTTAATAATTCGAGTTTATTACTTCAAATTTTATCAATTTTATTGATAAATTGATGTGATAAACCCGAATTATTTAACCTCTATTTAGAACCCTTATATTGATGAGCGTCCTTAAACTATACCCGGGGTATAGGCTCTTAACCTATAACCCTAAATAAATAAACTAAATTTAAAATAGCTATCACGTGCTAACTAAATTGAGAAACACGATAAAAATCTATACCCCAGGTACAGGCTAAAACAGTCCTATATTGATATGCGCGATTCAAATGTCACCTGAATTTGCATGTGATGTTCGTGATACCTAAAAATAGATCAACCAATAAAATTGTAAACAGACATCACGAGGATCTGCATGACCAATCAGATTAATCGGTCCTTTGGGATCGAATCCCAACCGATTAGAGATGTTATCGGCTCCACTTGAAGCCGACTCCAGCCGCGGCTTGATACAGAGCCACTATCAAGTCAAGCCTTTAAAATCATGGCTTGAATCAGAGAAGTATGGCTTTCGGCTTTGGCTTTCAGCCATAACCTGTGTCAAGCTGATAAACTTTAGCCATGACTTTGAAGCCGGCTTCAGACATAGCCGATTTAAGTCCTGTAGCTTCATAATAGCTTAAGCCATAGTTAGCAACGGTTCAGAAAACTAAGCCATGACTTAAACGGCTTGGCTAACTCAAGCCATGATATATTCATTGCTTGGCTGCACCATGGCTATTTATGCTATGGTTTGACTTCGGTTATGGCTTTAGTGAGCCAAGCTGAGCCATTTCAGCCGATTACATCTCTACAACCGATCCTTGCAGGGATCGGTCGAGATTCGATCCTTAAATCACATGATAAAAATTTATTTTTTCATGGAACTTCGGTCCCAGATTGAAATCCCTGTATAAATCCTGGGATCTGATCCTTGATAGACATTTTTGGTTAACGTATTTAATAATGAAATAATGAAGTAATTACTCACTAACATGCAAAAAGAGGTGTATGTCTTGAAAATTTTTTTCTTATATAAATTATTAATCATGGTTGTCTTTCCCAAAAATCACAACAAAGAGTGTATCATATGTTTTCAAATCTCTAATAAATAAAGACAGTATGTCTTAAAAGTTAAATATTTAATAATGAAAATAATGAAATGTTCTTTCTAAGTTATAACTTGATCAATTCAAATCTTTGAAATAAAGGCAGCATGCCTTCAAAAAGTTAAATATTTACCCTGTTAAATCTTAATAATAAAGACTGTATATCTCAAAGTTTATTCAAATCATGATGATAAGTTTTTAAATTGACATTAATAATTGATTTTTTATTCAATAAAAATTTTTTTTATAATCACATTAATAACAAAGACAGCATTGACATATCTTCAAAATAAAAAAAAATTTTTAATCATATTAATAAAAAAAGCAGCATTGGCATGTCTTCAAAATAAATTATCTGTTTTTAGTTATATTACAGTAATAACAAAGATGATGCCTTTTACCAACTTGATTTCAAAAAATATAATATTTGTAATTGTTTAATTAATTTTAATAAAAGTTGATTTGACAAAAGTGATAATAGCAAAAGTGAAAATCTTAATAATAAAGATCATATATTTTTTTCAATTAGAATCTTAATAATAAAAACAGTACATTATTTTATACAACAAAAACAAAATACTGTCAAAAGTTAAAACATAAATATTGTTTAATTATATAAAGGTGACATGGATACCTTAGACAAATTTAAACAAAAAAAAATTATAGAAATCAAATACAAATCCAGTACAAAAACTATATCCTTGTTATTAAGTAATGTAGAAGGCCAACAATGTAAATTCTCATTAAAGCACAACTGATTACTAGTTAAAAACTACTTAACAACAAACTCTGATGAAAGTAATAGATGTAAAATATGTCAACAAGTATTCAGTAATTTGACAGCACTTATAACAATTAATCTGTATTTCAAAAATTTTATTTCACATATTATTCAATAATCAAGCAATATAAACTTAATTACCTTAACTCATATAGTTCAAATGATAAACTAAAAATAGATTCTCTAAATAAAAAATTATTAGAATGGATTATCATTAATCAACAATCTTTTTTGTTAGTTGAAAACATTAAATTCATAAGTTTGTTTTAAGAACTTGATCTACATTACAGGCCTCTATGTCATTAAACATTATTAAATTGGATCAATCAAAAATATGAAGTAAATAGAGATAAAATTAAAGTAATTTTGAATAATGTTTCTTCAAAAATCTCTATCACAATGAACAAATGAACATCTTATAACAAGCAGTTATTTGTTAAAATAACTGTACACTTTGTAGATTCTATATAGAGATTGTACTAAATTTTGCTCGATATTGTGTTATTTGACAAAAGTTATACTGCAATAAATCAAGCTAATCTAATAATTAAAATTTTAAAAGAAATGAATATAGGTAAGAAACTTCTAGTCATTATCACTGACAATGCAGCCAATATGATCTCTATAGGAAATATTTTAGAACAAAAAGTCATTTCTGAATTTAAAAATGATAACTTACAACACTTTTATTATGAAGCTCATATCTTGAATCTTAGTGTAAAAGAAGGGATTAAGAATGTTAGCAATGAAATTCACAAAGTATGAGAGTTTTCTATAAAACTTCAAAACTCACCTTCATTACTTTGTGATCTAAAAACATTTGTAATATGAAAAAAGTTTCATTTTTAATGCCTGAAGTTGATATGAAAACCTTCTAGAATAGCATATATTTTATGTTAGAAAAACTCTGTAAGCTTCATCCTATAACTGATATTCTTGTTATAAGTATTAAGACATTAAATTCAAATTACTCTATGGAGCAAAAATAGAACAATATATTAGTTAGTAATTGGCAATATTTTAAACTATTTCTAATAATTACTAATTAAATATATATAAATTACAGAATCTAAATAATTATCCTTAAGCTTATATATTACACAACTGTAATGCTATCATCTTTAGCATTTTCTATTTAAGGTAACTTATGTATTATATTTCATGGTCATCTCAGGCATTTGGCTAAATATACAAATTTAGAACTTATCACTCAATCTGCAGTAGCCAATGCAATTAAGATAAAATTTGTATTATATTAGTGCCATCTAAATAGGTATGTTATACTTGTAATAGCTAAACTTATATAACACAGATACTTTTCTTATATCACTTAACCTTGCATTAATATTACTTCATAAATAAGATGTCAATAATTTCAGATCTTCTTGACCCACATACCAAACTTGAAATCTACGAATTAGAAGATCATAAAATAGCAATTAGTACACTTTATCAAATATTTGAAAAATATAAATCAGATAAAAATAATTCATCATTACCACCAACTAAAATAACTATCAATAAATTGGCTTAAAGCTTCTTTCATAGGCTTATTACCAACCATATAAATTATATTAATCCAAATAAAATCATAAAATATTTGAAAGAACCAAATACAGAAATAGAATGACTTATATAGTGGCAAGCAAATTTAGAACAATATCCTATATTATCCTGAATTGCAATAGATTATCTCTCAATACAGATGACAAGTGTGCCATCTGAACAAGCTTTTTCTAATGCTAAATACACAATTATGTTTACCTGAAATTATTTTGATCTTAAGACAGCATGTGCATCTTTATGCCTTAAGAGCTGGTATACAGAATTATCAGATATAATAGATGAAGCTTAGAATCTAAATTAGAAAAAAATCAAATAAAAAAAATCAAGTAAAATCAAATAAAAAATTCAAAAAAAAATTCAAAAAAAACAAAAAAAACTTTAAAAAATTGTGCTATTGAACTAATTACCATACTATAAAGTAAAAGAATATAGAAATTAAGGATACTGTAGTTATTTATATTATATTTTAATATAATTTAGTCCTTTTTTTTTTCTTAAATTTTTTTGTTACTTTTTTAGTTATTCTACTATTTATTTGTTAGTTGTGCTATTTTTTTGGCTTCTAATTCTTAAGATCACTAAGTTAGATAATAAAAACTTTTAATGTATAAAGAATCAAAAATTTTTTTAAAATAAATTTGATTGAACAGACTTATTTTGAAGATTAAAATTTAAAGAATTCAATTCTAGGATCAAATTTTAGAATTTAGATTCAGGACTATTCCTTTAGATTTCAGAACTGGATTAGACTGGATCAACATTTTAAGTTTTTTATAAAAAAAAAAAAATCTATTTGACACCTAGGGCAAATTTGCCTGTATATATATATTAATCATAATACTGCAAATATTAGTCATAAAATTGCATATTTAACTAAATGAATATGTAATTTTGAGTTACACACTGGTTGGCTCATATAGAATTTACATACTATTATGTGTTAATTTTCTTTTATATAATTATTTATTAGTAATACATTTAGAACTGCTTAAATGTAAAAATTTGATCATATGTGGTCAACCTTGTATTAAATCCAATATAAATAATGTAATTTGTGATTAATCACAGTTGAGACAAATTTACTTTTAATCAAACACTGTTTTTGCTATATCTTGTATCTAAAAATTTTTTACTTTAAGAATTATCAGTTTATTATAATATTGTTATATATATATATTCTTAAAGATCTTTAGGAAAGCATTTATTGGTTTTTGCATTGTAATTGTAAAATACTTTATCAGAAGTATATATTAATAGTTAAAAGTATATAGTAATTGTAGATTATTTTACTAAAAGTAGCTGTTAAATATTTTTTTTTATAACATACAGTAAGTAAGTTGAATTTATAAAATTACTAATATGTAAAAAATCACAACTAATTCTTTATTTTTAAAGGTAGTTTTTATTTGTTCTATATATCTTTATTCTATTATGGATAAGACTATAAATATTATTAACAATAATAGTAAAACTATACTTAATACAGACTTTTTAAATGACTTTTTGAATAATACATTTTACAAACCTGATATTAAGATTGTAAAAACTAACTTTGAATGTAATAATGTAAGTACTGCTAAAAGTAGTGATTGGAGTTCAGATTAAGATATTTTATTAATAGAACTTTTACAATTACATATTGGAATGATATTTTTTTTTATAAACTGTTGTTAATAGGTTAATAAAAGTCTTTATATATTTAAAAACCATAACTCTTTCTGCAAATCACTTATACCAAATTTTTGCTAAAAATATTTAATTATTTCTATTTATTTTATTAAGTTAACCTTACTTTTGCTCTTAAATAAACTTGTTCAGAACACTTTTTCTGCTAAGTTTTAAGCTTTAACAACATTTAGTTACTAAGAAAAGTTACAAAAACCAAAATTTTGGTTTTTGCTTATTTTTTTAAAATTTACTAATTTAATATACTTTCCATTTTAGTAATACTTTGTTCAGCTTACCAGAATGAATATTTTGATATATATTTTATCAAAAACAGATTAAAACTCATTAAGATATCACCAAAAAGGCAAAACCAAAACCTGTCTTTGCAGGATTTTTCAAAGACAATTTTAGGAAAACTTGTTGGGTTGCCCTAGAAATTTCACTTTTCTGGCATCTATTAAAATTTTCTAAACATCCAATTATCTTTCCCAATAGTCTCACACTTTTTAGATCTTTTCTAAACAGTCTAAAAACTCTTAAATCTAACAAATTCTTTCAAAAAACTTAGTTCTACAAATACTTCAAAAATTTTAATGTTATAAAATTATTTAGTACACATAATTACACAAGATAGTAATAGTCACACCTAATACTATCAACTTTGACTACTTCTATCAAAAATGTCCTAAAAGCTTTGATATCAGAATTCATAAAGATAATATAAATGCATTATATTTTATTTCTCTTAACAAACAATCAAGTAGCTGTATAACAACTGACCTCAGAAGTGCTATCAAAACTAGTTACTTTTTTAAGACACCAACAACAAGTTCTATTATTAGTTGTTTCTATAAAAAATTTTATATACATTTTATTTTAGCAACAAACTAAATATACAATGAATATGAAGTAATTAATATAATTAAGAAAACTAAAGATAAAAAATCTCTTGTACACAATATTATAAACTCTACCAAATTTATTTCACTATCACCTAGCTTATCACCTTCACTTATTACATACCAACATATATGTGCTATATGCAACTTACCTATTAATTATAAAGTAACTAACAACCAACACTATTTAGCAGCTAACTCTATCTTATTTAACAACAAACCTCAACTTAAATCATATACTCAATCTTAATTTAATAACCAACTAAGTACTTTTACATTTCAACAAAGCAACTCTACATCTCAACTAAGTTTACATACTACTCTTATTCAAAAAATTTAACAATCATTCTCTGAATACAGAAATCCATTATTATTTCAACTTAATTCCTTAATCCTAATAGAAGAAAACACAAACAATACTAATAATAATATAGATATTAATAACACTTTATCTAGCAGTCATAATCAATAACAACAACTGCAATAACAAAACAATCAATATCAACAACAATAACAACAACAAAAACAAAAACAACTTAAACAAACTCAGTCAGAAGAATAACAATAACAATAAAAACAACTCTTAAATAAACAACAATCCAGTATTTCTAATAATCAAAATAACATTAAAGCTAATTTAACATTCAACTGGCTTACTAACTTTCCTATTTCTGAAGCAATAAAATCTAAAACCCAACTTGAAACAAATTTTTCTAGAAAAATATTCAATCTTCTTAACTAATACTTACATGACTTCTATTCTGGCAAGGAAATTAAACCCAAAACTGACAATTGTAAAGCACTTAAATCTAGCTTCTACCATATTATTCATATAATAGCAGAAAATAAACCTAAATTTCTTATTGAATTTATTTAACAAAATAATCCCAAAACTGACAAAGTTATTATTATTCTTTTTAACATTCTTGAAGATATTCTCAAAAAACTAATTCTACTTTTATAACAGTTCTCTTTACAAAGCTCAATTACTCAAAAATCTTTATCTTATCTGCAACTATTCTCTTATACAAACTAAACCAGATTACAACTTTGTATTAATCTTGCATATATTCATCTATATCTCTCTAATAATTATCAGGCAATTGATTATATTAAATTTGTTAAAGACTTCAAACTTTGATTTAAAAGATTTACAATCTCATTAGAAGTAACTGATATTGATCAAGATAAGCATTATCTTACAATCAAATTAGATAGCAAATTTAATATTTATCTTAAATTCAATATCTTCAAAACACTCTTTTTTCAAAAATTAAATATACCATCTTTTAAAAATTCATTAGACCATTTTAAACAATAGTTTAAACAATTCTTTCCTTTATATAACTGACAATTTACTGAGCCTCTTGATGAAACTAAGATTTTTAATTTTCTTAAATTTCAATTTTGACAACAATTTATTTTATACCTCAAAAAAACCATACTTACTAATTTACAATTTGAAAAACCTAACAGCTTACAAGAATGTTATAATAATACAATCAAACAAGTCAACTATCACATACTTACTTGTACAGATGCAATATGTCTTATTTAGAAAAACTTGAATCTAAAAACAAAAAAAAACAAACAGAAATCCAAATTTCTCCCAAAAAGCTACAATATTAGCACAATTTCTTCAAGCTCTTAAACAACATTTTTCAAAAATCTTTTATTGATATTTCAAAACAACAAAATAAAATTTAAAAACAATCTAATATTAGTTCTTCTATATTTTACAAAAATAGTAAATATGAAGCAACTTTTAACAAAGAGATTCCAACTTCTCTTCTTAACCAACTTGCAGCTGAGCTGAAAATTCTGCTTACAAAATTAATAATATTCAAACCAATCCTAAATGTCACAGTTACTATTTTTATTTATATTTTAATCTTTATCAAAATACTGTAACACAAAACTATAATATTGACAAACTTAACAAACAACAAGCAATTGATCTTCTTATCTTGAAGCCTATTAGTACTGACTTTTTTGCAAGAGTTTTAACATTTTATAACTTCCAAGATAAGTCTCTTACTTATTACCAAACCAATAAATTTTACAAAGAAACAGCTTATTCAGAAGCAGATAAACTGTTACAAAATAAATTCAAAATAACATATGCAACATCAACTTTAATTAAAGAGGCTTTCTTCTTTAAAGAAACTTCTTTTCAATAAACTTGTCTTCTACAAAACTCATAGAAGCAGCTGCCATCTTATCAAAAGAAATATTCATAGTAGTTAATAAGAAAAATGATGTAAATAGGCAGACAGTAAAGCCTATTTACATGGAAGGCCAAAATAATGATGGTCAGACCCAATGTACAGGGCAGACTATAGTATTTTGCACAGTTGTAAGAGCTGAGCATACAGTAATTGATCCTGTAGAAGACAACTCT